TAATAGTTTGTTTTGTTAAACAAAATTTTTATCTATGTTCATGCTTTTCTATTATCTTTATCCAGTTTTAGTATTAGCACAATGTTTGATTTCCTAAAATGAGGGGAGAAGTGTTCTTTCTTTTTCTGCTTTAAATGTTTGATATAATTTATCAATTAAAATGTATATGAGCCTGCTATTGTCATAAAGGTAGGTTTTCAAGTTAGGAATATACTTTCTTTAGTAGGTGCTATTTAAATTTTATATTTCTTCCAGAGTCAGTTTCACTAATTTGTCTTCCAAGGTACTTCGTAGAAGTTGTCAAATTTATTTCAAAAAATATTTTTGTAATATGCTTTCTATATCCATTGAAATTCTGTAAAATCTGTGATAATGTCCTCTAAATCTTGATATTGTAATTTTAAAAAATGTATAATTGATATTGTGTTGTGGGAAAAAGGGTCTAAAGGAGTAGGGGAAGTGGGAGGGGTAGGGGAAAGGAAAGAAGGGAAAAGAAAAAGTATGAGAAAAGGAAAAAAATGGAAACAAGTCTTTGTAAATAGGGAAAGGTGGAGGGGGTGAAAGGAGGGCAGGGGAATGGGTAAAAAATAAAAACCAAGAAACGTCAGGTATAGGTACAAGATCCCAAAGATGAATGTAGCTGTATTTTATACCTAAAATGTATCAATAAACTTAATGGAAACAAAAGATGTATTAAAATGGTACAGCTTTCTAATATTTTTTGTTAATAACTTAATTAAACTTTCTTTGGATAAGAGAATATACACCTAATAAATGGTTATCTATTTCATTAATACAGCTTTCTCCAGGAAAAGTGAAATTAAAATTACTGAAGCAGCAACTTCAAGGTAAACAGTTTATCACTATCATTAGATGCTAAACACACAGTTTCACATTTGAATTACATATAAAATTAAAGTGCTAGAATCGTTCAGACAATATAAAGATTCTTGCCTTTGTTGAGATACAAAATATTCCCTACATGCTTGTGTGGAAGGCTTGGTTGCTTATTGGGTTTGGGGACTTGTTTGAGTCTTGAGGGGTCTAACTTCTTAATTTGATGGTGTAATGGGAGTTGATGGAAACATGAGATGAAGGGGGTATGACTTGGGGACTATCAGCTCCCTGGCCCCTCCTCTCTGACTCCTCCTGGCCCCGCCTCCTGTCTGCCATGAGTGGAGCCACTTTGCTCCAGCATCTGCTGTGCTCCATGTTTCACTTCCCATGGGCAACAGAGCCAAGTGACATGGACTGAAACCTCTGGTAATGTGAGTGGAAATAAACCTTCTCTCCTTTTTCTCAGGTATTTGGTCACAATAATGAATGCTAACACAATTGTAAACCCCCAAATGATGACATTTTGATTTTCATATACATTTTATTCAGATTTTCCTTGGGGGCTTATTTTTATGTTAAAAATGTCAATTTAGTATATGATTATAACTATAACACTTCAAAAGTGAGGACTTTCATCACACTGGTTTAAAAAATTTATTGATAATATAAACACAAAGAAATTTATCCGTATACAATTATAAACAGAAATATCACTCTGGAAAATAAAAGCATATTGCTTTATATTTTAATAAATTATTTAAAAACAGGAATTTTTTTTTTTAAAGATAATCTGGCCCCAGAGGCCTGTTTATTACTTTGCCACAAAGGTGTGCTTGGGGTGTCCTGTCATGGGACTGTCCTTGTCCCTGGACAAAGTCTGTGGCCCAGCCACAGACTTGGTTCACACAGATACTACAGTCAGCAAAAATAAATGTTGAACTATAATCACTCAAAAAGAAGATGTATTTCTGGAGGATAAACAAATTTAATTTTGAATGGTTACCATAATTTGGTAGAGCAATATTTTTTAGATATGTTTACTTCATATGTTTATAAGTTGTCCTGTGTGGATTTTATTTTGTTATAAAATTTGACAAATACCATAGGAATTCTATCAACAGCATGATGTTTTTACTGTTTGATTTTTTTTCAGCTCCAGTGTTTTAGGCAGAGCAGACATGGGTGGATGTGTGTGGCCCTGTGGTCACAGGTACTGGCAGGGTCTGGTCTGAACTCTACTATCAACTGGCAAATTAGATTTGACTATACACCATTTTTATGGACAACTAATATTTAAATACTGTTTGAGAATTTAGAAATATACAGTTTCATTATTTTACTAATCAGAAAATTAAGCATCATTTTGTAAATTGAAAATTACTAAAATGGTCTGACTTTTTTTCTTCCAGAGCCAGTGAAACAACCCATTAATTACAAAATGGCAAATTTTTCTAGGAATGAAAAATCCAAGAAAAAAGGAAAGGTTTGTGGACAGTGTGAGAACAACGCTGCTCTACTAGTATGTATATTATAGTAAACATTTTCCATAGAGCCTCTATGTGACCTTATACACCCCCTCCCAAGATAACCTGCTTTCATAGCCATATGCTTTTCTTTCATCCCTGTCTCTGAGAGTGATATGCATGTGCTGCTGGATAAGGTCACTATCTTGCCTTACTGAATCTCATCTCTCATTCTTGTTGAAGGATATCACTATATAGCTAGCTTTTCATTTCTCCTTCTGTTTGCTTTTTGTTGTTTAAGGGTGCCATAGACATTTACATGCAAGTCTTTTTTTTTCAAATTATGTACATTATATTCTTTCTTCTCAAAAGCAAAGCAAATGATAAAAAGTACAGATCATAATGCTTTTTGACAGCTCTCTAGCTCTTCATTGGTGCCAATTTCTTGAACATTTTTAAAAATTACGTTGAAGAACACATAACCTAAAATTTGCCATCGTAAGTAGGTTAGTGATGTTAAGTATGTTCGCAGTGTTATAGCATTATCACCACCAGCTATCCACAGAGCAGTTTTCACCTTTCAAAACTGAAACTTTTTACCTACTGGACAAAAATTCCCCATTGTCCCTACTTTAGCCCCTAGCAAACAGCATTTTATTTTCTATCTCTGGAATTTGTCTACACTACCAACCTCATAAAAATCACCTAATATTTTTGCTTTTGAAACTGGCTCATTTAACTTAGCATAATTTCTTGAAGGTTCAGTTATGTTGGAGCATGTCACAATTTCCTTCCTTATTAAGACTGAATAATACATTTATCAAATTTTACCTATCTATCTATCCATTGATGGATACTTTGGTTGTATCCACTTTGGGCTATAGTGAATAATGCTGCTGTAAATGTGAGTGTAAAAATATTTCTTTTTTTTCCTTAAATGATTTAATTGGTACATTTTAGGTATACAGTGCATTTACATTTGCCATTGGGAACTTGTACCTTTACATGATGTATCTTGGTTCTTATTTTTTCCCCATTCCCCTGCCCTCCCTTCGACTCCTCCACCCCTCCCTATTTACAAAGACTTTGTTTCCATTTTTTCCTTTTCTCATATTTTTTCAAAAAATATTTCTTCAAAACCCCGCTTTCATTTCTTTTGGATGTACACCCAAAAATGTAACTGCTGGATTCCTGTTCTCTCTTGACTTCTCTTCACTTAGTTTTGTGGCTACACTGCTGTCAAGGTCATCAATGACATCTACATTCTTTAAATATAATAGTAAATTTTCAGTTTTATTTTAATTTGTTAAACCTATTTGATACAGCATCCCTCTCCACATCTGATTTTCTTCACCTGCTTCCTCGGAGGTGTTTATCTTATCTATAATCATATTAGTGTGCAAAAGCATACCAATCCCATCTAACTACAGTTCCTACAACTCCTAGATAGTTGTTCCTAACTATAACTTAGTACTTGGGGATCATATTTCCTTATTCTTTCCTTCCTCTCACTTTGCTATCTACCATTCTCCTCTCAGCTTACAGGAGGTCAGTCTTATATATATTCCAATATGAGTGAGATCATGATGTATTTGCCTTTCTGTTCCTGGGTTATTTCACATAACATAATGATCTCCAAATCCACTCTATTTTATTACTGCATAACAGTCCATTTTGCATACATACCACATTTTATTATCCACTCATTTGTTGAGGAGTACTTAGGTTGTTCCCATTTCCTGTCTAATGTGAGCAGTGCTGCAGTGAACATGGGTGCGTAGATGTCTTTTTCTTTCCTTTGTACTGATACCAATTCATTTCCTTTGTACATATACCCGGTAGTGGGATTGCTGGCTTACATGGTAGTTCTTTTTAAATTTTTTTTAGGAACCTCTATGCTGTATCCAAAATGGCTGTACTAATTTATATTCCCACCAACAGAATTAAGGTTCCCTTGTCTCCATATCATAGTCCTGTGGCCAATGCCTTTGGAATTTTGAAAGGGATTGCATTGAATCTGTGGATTTCTTTTGGTATGAAGGACATTTTAAACTCCTGATTCTTCTAATTAATGAGCAAAAGATGTCTTTCTACATTTTTGTGTCCTCCTCATTTTCATCATTGTTTTATATTTTATTGTAAAGATTTTTCACTTCTTGGATAAGTTTATTACTAGGTGGGTATTTTTTTGGTAGCAATGGCAAATGAGATTCTTTTCTTGGTTTCAATTTCAGATAACTGGTTATTGGAATATAGCAGCACTACTGAGTTTGTATGTTGATTTTATATCCTGCAATTTTGCTGAATTCATTTATGAGTTTTAAAAGTATATTTATGGGATCCTTGGCTCTTTTACATATAAGATTATGACAACTGCAAAGAGTGGAAATTTGAATTTTCATTTTCCAGTTTGAATTCCTGCTTTCCAATTTGAGTGCCTTTATTTCTTTGTCTTGCCTAAACACTGTGGCTAAGTCTTCCAGTGCTATGTTGAATAAAATTGATGAAAGTGGGCATCTTTGTCTCATTTCACATCTTGGAAATCTTTTAGTTTGCCTGTATTCACTATAATGTGAAGTTTGCTTTTTACTTATTATATATGATCTTTGCTGGGTTGAGTGCATTCCTTCTATACTTAATTTATTTAGCACCTTTATCATGATGGAATGTTGAATTTTATCAAATGCTTTTTCTGCATCTATTGAGGCAGTCGCATATTTTTCTTCCTTCTGTTGATGTATTGTATCATGTTATTGATTTATATCTGCTAAACAATTCTTGCATCTCTAGCATGAACCCCACTTAATTATAGAGAATAATCTTTGTAATGTGTTGTATTGTTTGCTGGTATTTTCTTGATGATTTTGCATCTATGTTCACCAAAGATACTGGTTTGTACCTCTGTTGTTTGTTTGTAGGTTGATAATTGTTATGTCCTTGTCTAGTTTTGTTATCAGGGTAAAGTTTACCTCATAGAATATGGTTATAAGAACCCCTTTATTTTCAATTTTTTGAAATTATTTAAGAGTAGAAGTATTAAGTCTTTAACTGAAAACTTTGAGAGTTAAGTTTTTGGTCATGGGCTTTTCTTTGATAGTAGATGTTCTTACTAATTGAATCTCATTACTTTTCTTTGATCTGTCCAAATTTTTTATTCCTTCTTGATTCAATCTTAATAAAGTGTAAATGTCCAGAAATTTGTCCATTTTTTCTTGGTTATCAAATTTGTTGGTGCATGGTTGTTCATAATAACGTCTAATGATTCCTTATATTTCTTTGGTATCAGTTGTAATGTCTCTGTTTTCATACTGATTTTATTGACTGCTATAGGATAGGGCTTGACCTCAAAGCAAAAGATCTATTTTTTAAAGTGAAAGAAGTAACAAAAGAAGGCAATTCCAGATGGGATAAGTGAGAGGGCTGGAAAGCAGATGAGAATGACAATGTGTGCAGTGATTAAAGAACTAATTTGTCTGAAAACTCTTGATGTAGTATTCAGGATTTAAGCTTCATACTTTTGAAGAATTTCATTAAGCTTTTAAAAAAGAATTCTCTTTGATTTAAAATAAAACAATAACACATGATATTTGTTGAAATACAATAAACTATTTGTTAGAATCATGTGCTGATCTAATGAAATAGAACAGTGTTAGTAAATTCTGAGGTTTCTCATATTCTTAGCATTTATTACATATACCTAACTATGCTGACTAGATACACACACAAACACACACACAAGCACACACATGATGCTTTTCATCAGGGAACATTTTGTATTGGAGGAAGGGAGGTAGGTGTTAAGGGCTTGCAATTGGGTGGTTATATCACAATTTCCCTTATTATTTATGTGACCTTAAATAGTGACTTAATCCTTCTAGAACTATTTTCTCATTTACTGAATGAAATAATGGAATAACTATATTTTATACCACAAAGTAACTTATAATGATGAACTAATGCATGTGAAATATTTAGCTTTGTGTGTTACAACTAGACAGGAGATAATGATTTGTGTTTTCATTGTTGACATATCTTTTATGATCTGATATAGTCATCAAGGAAACAAACCAAAACCTCCAAATTTCTTATTTTGAAAGGGACTTCCAGTGGTTTTAGGTTGTTTCTATACACCAAGAGTAAATTCGATAGCTAAAAATTACATATTAACAAGGCATATCTGGATAACTTAATTAAACTCAAATGGATTCTGAATGCTTGATGCAACTGACTTGGCATTCATCAAACTAGCAAGATATTTTGTTAAAACTGTTCTTGGGTAGTCTATCCATAAAAGTATCTGTGGTGGAATGGAATACTCATCCGTGTTTTTAGCGTGTTTCTGCCAGTTATACAAAATGCCTAAAAATATTTTTCTAGTTGGCAGTCATTTTAACCCAGTTTAAATACAAATATGTTTGTATAACAAAGTATATGAGCTTATTCTGCAACTCTAGCTTTGATCTTCCAGTCTACAAATATCTATTTGACTACATTCATTAAAAATCTGTTAACAATTATTTGGCTTAGAAGTATAAGCTCCCTATATAATACATTATAAAAACTGCCAAGTATTTATGATAAATTTATTAAAATATTAGCATGTATATTAAATAAAATTATGAAGAATACATATTGAAAGCTATATTCATTTAATAATACCAGTGTATATATATATGAAATTAGATTTTAAATTAAAATTCATTTTGCATTTACAATTATGGAATTAACATGTTTTCATCATTATTTCCCTAAGAAGCAAGAAGCAAGAGTGCAGTGGATAAGACTGGTTCTCATGCTACAGAGTATTTATTTTTCTTCTGCTTAAATAAAAAAATCCAGTTCTCAACAGCTAATTACATTTGAAAAAATGCACTAAGACTTTGATAAATACCAGTCCATGCAGTCATTTGAAATAGTAAATTTCATTTTATTGTAAATTTTATCAAGGTTTTTCAGTAAATGATTAATCTGCAACTAATGACCAGTGATTGGTTTAATGATTATGAATGTGTGTCACAGGTAAGAGCTGGAGCTTTTGGACAGGCAGTAGGTTAAAGTCCTGGCCCCACCACCGTTAGTATATAGGAATACTATGGGCCAGTTCTCACTCATTGAGCTCCTGTGTTACTTTGTCTTCCCAAAAGCCATAGAGTGATTGTTCTAACCTCATAGGACAGTTGTGAGGGTTGAGATTGCACAGGTGAAGCCCCTAGAAGAGTGCTCATTAAATGTTGTGAATATTGTTATTATTATTTCAATTGTGACCCCATTTTAAGTTTCATTTTAGTTATATACATTTTCTTACACCTTTAAACATTTTATTGTTTTTGTAATTTTATATTTAATAAAACTGACTGTATCAGTCCCATATCATCCCATAGGACATTTAGTATAACCTTGAAAACTTAATTAAGCTTTCAAGTCTCTTACTGCGTGTATAATAAGAGTTCAGTTTACTTTCCTGTATTACATAGATTCTAGTGATTTGTTCCTTGCTGTGGCATCTGCATAGCAGGAGTGTTGCCTGGAGTTTGTTAGAATGTCGGGTCTCTGGTTCCACTGCAGACCTAGTGAACAAGAGAGTCTATTGCAACAAATCCCAGGTGATTGGTAGGCACACTACCCTGCCGTTGGAGAAGCACAGAGGTACAACTCAGTCTACCACTGAGCAGTATTAGGCAGAAGAATTTCGTTGACTTCTTGCTAACCTAACCCAGCTGTTTACACAGCATTGCCTGATACAAAGAAGCAAGTAGGTTAGAGAACAGTGGCAAGTGCCCTGAGAGGAAGTGAAAGATGCTCGGCATATTTACTGTGAGCTTCTTGAGGTGGGCCTTCAGGTACCTTCTCATCAAGTTCTCATGCTTTCTTTACCATACTACTGTTGCATACAATTCTGCTCAATCTGGGCCAAAATGAAGAAAGAAGGGTTTTAGCCATTTGTACGGCCATTTATCATATCTTGGAGGGCAATGAACAATGGTACAGCTGGAGAGTAATAATTTCAGTTGTAGAAAAAATTTATTTTCTTTTCTCTTTCAGTCTTGGTTGGCACCACCATAGATATAGGTATATTGCATTGTTGAACTTATCTGTACATTTTAAGATTATAGTTTTTCATCCTACAGAAATTAGAAGATCAATATAAACTTGACCATAATCATTTTGTCAGTAATAAACATTGCTGACCTTGTGATAATTTGTCTATTTTTTTCATCTATTTTCTTTCCTTTGGGTACATTTGTAAGACTTTCAGAACTGTAATTTGAGACTGACCAGTGACGGGATATCTACCATGAACATAAATGAGGATTTTTGAACAAAATAGTACATACATTGTTTGAAAGTAATTGTATCATGTGAATCTGTGCATAAAGTTAAAAGAAGTCATAAAAATGACAAAGTTTTGACCCAGAGAAATAGTTGTTTAATTTTTAACAGGTCAAGAAGTTTGATTTGAGGTTGCTAGTTGTATTATTATCAGAAATTTTACATATATGAATTTATGTAATACATAAACATAATGCTATATTATAATATTACATTTATTTTGATAGAAGAGTAATTAGTGTTAAAAAGCTAGTTTTTCTCAGTTAAATCTGTTTCATTTTTTTTTCAATTTTGATATTTAGGTATGTAATGAAATGAATAAACACAAATAAAATGTTATCTCTGTGCAATAATTTTCTCAAACTCATAGTATCAAAAGATTGTATGATTCTAAAAATATAGATATTTACATTTTTAAAGGTATGCCTTGAATGTGGTGAAGATTATTGTTCAGGCTGCTTTGCTCAAATCCACCAGAAGGGGGCACTAAAACTCCACAGAACAACTCTTTTGCAGGTATGATTTCCTGAAATGCTTTACTTGCTCTGTATTTATAAAACGTTTCAACAAAAAGACACTTAAAATATGTTTAGTTACCTAGAATTCAGGGTAATTTACATTAATTTCTCAAGTTCTATTATGTATAATCTTGACATATATTTTAAAATTATTTATTGAACAATAATTGAGGTTCTATTTTGCAATTTAAACTGTTTTAATGTAGTTCCTGAAGCACTTTGGTTGTTAAGTCTTTAGATTAGGCAGTCTATCCATGAATGTGGCACTTCAAGTTAGGAAATATTTATCTATTGTGGTTTAAAATGAACACATAGCTTATTTTAGGTATTATTTTTATCTAGTTTACTAGTAGGAATCTTAAATTTTTTATGTACCTTTAAAAAAATTTTATTTATACTTGCCCATTATCATTTAAGTAAGTTCATCTTAAAGTTTCTACTTTTAATTCCACATGCTAGAAATTTTTATTCATTCTTCTATAGTCATTTCTCTCATCTCTTTTTTTAAATCATTGCTCCTTAAAATGCTTCAACTCAAGCCTTGTCAAATAGTTTTAAAATTCTAGTACTTAATAAATATGGTTAGAGTCAGATATGACATTATACTGGTTACATGTAATGATATATTTGTCATACATTTAATTTGTTTTACAGTAATATAGTCAACAAGTATTTACTGAGCAGCTTCTAAGTAGCAGGATCAATCCTAGGCAATGACCTTATAGACGTTAATATTGCCAGGATCCTGCTTCTAAGGACCTGCAGATAAAACTGGCAACCAAGGACGTTATGTAGTGGGTTAAGGATATCAGTATCTTGTAGGCAAAGGAAAAGAGGTGATAGCATCTGTATTTACAAAGATCACTGAAAAATTTCACTATTTACATATTATCTCCATATAAATAATTGATAGCTCATAAAGATACTAATGATTCAATTTATGATAATCAAATAGATCTAACTCACATTTTCCAGAGCTACTTCTGAGTGAGCACTGAATGATAGAGGCTTTAGTCAGAAATGACGGAAGGAGTGTGAAAATAACCTGGGCCTTCCCTCCCTCAGTACATTGTAATTGGACAATCATGAGGAATGGAAGTTAGTCTGCAGAGAAGCAAGTCAGTCAAGTTGTTATCCTATAAATAGTACAGAATTTAACTAAATGCATTCCACTTGGAAAGTAAATGACACAACTATTTCACTGTAGGTTCATTTGAGGAATTTATCCTTCAAAAGTTTGTTTCTTGAGCACATTTTTTCAGTTAGCAATCAGTGAATTTAAGCATCGATTTGGATTTCAGAAGATGTGAAAGAAACAAGAAATGAGACATGTCTCCTTCCCTTAACTTCAGTATCTGAGCTTCAGGATTCATCTGAGTTTGATTCTTTTCCTCTGCCTTTTTTCTCTTCCCCTCAGCTCCTCCCCTCTCCTCCTTCCCGTTTCCTTTCCTCTCCTCTCCTCCTCTCTTTCTCCCTCTGTCTCTCTCTCTCATTGAACTTTGCTGCGATATAGCTTACAAATGTAAATGAATTAATTTTTCATTCCCTAATACTATCAAATTATAGTATTTCAGGTATAGATATAATATGAGTTAAATCATGCTTACTAAGGCAATATAACATACAGGGTAATTTCTAAACAATCAATTGTTTTCTATTCCATATTTGCATCATTAAAATGAATAATTTATCTTAAAACAATGTGGTCATTTTAGATCCCAAATATAAACTTGATTGGAGAAATGAGAAAATGTTTACTGATATATATTTACTGTCACATAGCCTGTAATTAAAAATAAACTTTTTCAATGTAAATTTTCTTCAGTTTAGGTAGTACCTTTGGACAGAAAATTTATTGAAACAACCAATGAACTATTTTCCATCATTTTTGAGATGTAATTGATAGATACTAATTGTATAAATTTAAATCATACAAATTGACATTATCATATATATATATATACACGGTGAAATATTCTTCTATATTACACTAATGAACAAATGAATGCCTTCACATTACCATTTTTTTCTTTTTCTTCTCTTTTCATTCTGTGTGTGTGTGTGTGTGTGTGTGTGTGTGTGTGTGTGTGTAATATGAGGCAAGAATACATATGATGGTCCCAAGATTACATTTTATAGTTTTAGTTGCAGAAAAGGAAAAGTTGGTAATCCATAAATAGCAAAATGATATTTAAGTTTCAAGTGAATCTCAAATTGGAGTAGAAACATTCATCTCTAAATGTTAGGATGAACAAATTTCAGATGTATACAAATCAAAGAGCATGTCAGAACCCGTGAATCTTAGACAGGTTTCTTCAAATACAGGGGTCTTTTATTCATTTAAAATAAATATTAAGTTCTGATAACAGACCATGTTTCTTTTGTGTTCATATTACTCCTTAGCATTTTGCCCTTGTCTATGGATACTGAAGTTGATTCTTGATGATGTCTTGGGGAAAGTTCTGGAAAGTGAATTTTCTATGAGTGAAGTTGAACTGCGGTGTTGGTACTTAGCAGAATACCCACAGGCCACGTGTACTGGAAACTAAACCTATACTGCTTTTCCTCTGTTTTTTTATAACCTCACTTCAACTACTGAGGTAGCTATGGTATGGAGGACTTTGAAAGAGACAGTATTTTCCAGATAATTCAAATGAATTTGTCCATTTAGTTATAATACAAAACATGTAAAATTAAGAGTTTTCTTTTAAATTCCACATGCAAGTAAAATATATTTTTCTTTCTGTGCCTGGCTTATTTAATTTAGCATAATGTCCTCCAGTTTGGTCCATGTTTTTGAAAATTACATTAGCTCCTTCTTTCTAAAGGCTGAATTATATTCCATTGTGTGTATATAAGTGCTCTTACTACAAGAACAAAGAAAAGGAACTATATGAGGGGCTTTGGGGTTGATGGCCACATGGTTAGTAATGAGTAGATACCTCTTTCTGCATACCCCTCATTTACCTGTCATACTATATTCTTAGTTTTTTACCATTTTGGTAACTACTAAAGTCATGAGGTTTAGTTGACTGCTTAATTCATATTTATCCTGAGAAGTTAAGAAGACATCTGATATGTGAATATTGATCGTTAGTATATAAAATGGATGCATTTCCTAATGACTCTTATGTTTTATATTCTTTAATCTATAATGTCACTTCTGGTTATTATAAATCATAGCTAAATTTGATAATTATGAACCATTTTAGCCCCTATTCTACAGGCCATTTAGTCCTATGATTCAGTCACTGTGGACCATTTTGTTCCAGCATATTTTGTTTTACTTAAAAGATAAATACCTGAATAACCGGAGGGAAACAATTACTATTTTCGTGTTGACCAACATTATAATTTCAAAGAATGTTTCTTTTGATTTATGATTGATTTATACTTGGCAGTGATTCAAAACATTTCAAGTTTCTTTGCTTTCTTCAAGCTCTGTTAAATAGTTAATTATCTGAAAAACAAAGCATAAATGCATGAGATGAATTACTAAGTAGAAAAATTCTAATTCTATATTTAGAAAGATTGTTAACAGAGAAGGTTGAAATGAAGGGTTTTTTTTTTTCAGGTGAAAAATAAGATGTTAATGTATCAGGCATTTCTAGTTCCTTTTAACAATGTATGATCAGACAAAGGAGTCAAGGTTCATCAAGGTGAATGGAAGATTGGAGAAAACAAACAAAATGCATTTTGTTGTGTGGTATGACATGCACAAGGAAGGTTATGTGAATAATTACTGGATTATTGTATCTTTTCTTATTTGGAATGAAGATTTTTTTTAACTTGAAAGAAGAAATCTTGGGAATGTGCACAATTAGTAAGAAAGGATGAGAAAATCAAGGTTGAATTTCCATGGTTTATTGTATAAGGCTCTTTTTCTCCAAAGAGAGGAATATTTATGTAAATATTGATATAACTGGGAATATATGTTTGCCTAAACATCCCGGCAGGAAAAGATACTGGAGTAAAGCTTAGTTAATGTTAGAGTCCTACTTATGCTTGGTAACTTTATGGTAGATAATATTTTTTAATTGACAATACTCAATCTCAGCTTTTAGGTGCACAATGTCACTGTCACTATGCTGTTAATATTGAGAACAATGTTCCATTTTCAGATGACAGTTACTCATATTGGATAATATATTCTTGATGATCCTATTTAGATCATTTTAAAGTGTTTATTGTTCGTATGCACATTGTAGTTGTGACTGTGTGCCCCCACACCCTCCTGTTTAACCCTGAAATACTCACTTTCCTAGCTGCCTTGCCCACTGATGGTCATAATAAGGCTGTCTCTAGGAACTGTCTTCTCTCACAGGAAGTGTTACTTAAGTTACTTTCCTCCCCGAGATAGCCTGTCATTTTTGGTTTTGTTTTTGTAGTCAAATACTGCAGACTGGGTAATTTGTAAAGAATTAAGGTTTATTCAGCTCCGCTTATTTGGACTCTTCAGAGCTCAGAGCTGGAAGGGCTACTTCTGGTGAGGTCTTCTTGCTGGTAGGGACTCTATGCAGTCTGATAGGATGCAGGGCACCATGGTGGGGTGGGGCAGTCAGTCCATATGAGATACAGTAAAATCAAACCTGCCCTCATGACCTAATCATCTTTTAAAGATTTCACCTGGTCTCACGATGGGAATTCAATTTCCACATGAGCTTTGGTGGCAAGATCAGAATCTTAGTATAACCCATCCAGATCCCAGCTACCCATGTAAGTCATTGGAGCTCTTCTCCTGTGGTTGGCTTTGAAGTTCAATTTTTCTTTTGCTCAATCTTCCTTCCTTCACCTGCCCACAGGTGTGGCCAGAGCACTATCCGGCCAGACCCAGGGAGGCAGATCTCAGCAGTTATTTCCTAGGGAACATGTCTCATGACAATATGGAGTTTAGAGTATAATTAAAGATAATTATTGGGCTAATTTTAGAGTATGCTGCAATTTTTGAAGGTCAGTACACAGTTACATTCCAAATTTGGAACTACCTGGAGAAACAGA